TCCCTTTGAAGGCAGCCAATTTTACCCACCATTTCCTGATATATCTACCTACATATCGGAACCCACAGATCACATCTCACCATGATGTTCAAGGCCAGCGCCACCGCCCTCCTCCTCCTCGCCAGCGAGACACTTGCCTCCCAGCAAGGGTTCCAGAGCCAGTTTCAGGGCGGCGTCATCCCGCCCCCTGCCGCCGCTGCCGCTCCCAAGGTCGTCCCGGTGCCCCCCGTCGTCGAGGCCCCCGTTGCAAAGGGGCCGAAAGTGCCTGCTGAGCTCTCCTCCTCTCTCGAGATTGCGCCGACGCCGATCCTCTCCACGCCAGCTGCCTCGGTCAGCACCACCGCCACCGAATCACTCCCCACGGGGTCTATCGAGCAGTCAGCCTCCCTGTCGTCCTCTGAGCTTACCGAAGCTGTCCTCGCGAGCACCAGTGCCCTAGAGGTTTCTAGCACTCGCGAGGCATCCAGCTCCATCGAGCACTCCAGTGCCATCGAGCACTCCAGTGCCATCGAGCACTCCAGTGCCATCGAGCTCTCCAGTGCCATCGAGCTCTCCAGTGCCATCGCGATACCCAGTGTCAACGCGACTTCCAGTGCTTCGAAGGCTGAGGCAACCGAGCTTTCCACGTCCCATATTGTGGGAGCTGAAGCTACGAGCAGTCTGTTTCCCAACAGCACCACACATATTGCGACTGCGACCGAAAGCCTAGCTCTCAGCTCAGAGCTTCCAGTTGTCAATGGCACCCTTTCTGAGGAAGCCGCCCGGACCACCTCCATCCCGGTTGCTGTCAACGGCACCTCGCTGTCCAGTGGCATCATCAGCGAAGCCACCCTGACCAGCGCAGCAGCATCCGTTCAAATCTCCACGGAGCTCCAGATTGAGACTCTTACACAGGTCCTCAACAACAATTTGACCGTCACGAGCGTTGTCACCAGAGAGCAGATCATCACTGCCCCTCCTGGACCACCAGCTACTGAGACCGTTTCCGTTGTCTCGACCGAGACGGCTATCATCAGGCAGCCTGTCATCATCATTGTCCAGCAGGTTACCCTGTTCGTGTTCCAGTCCGGCCTTGGCGGCATCTGTCCCGCTGTGCAGCCGGCCCCCGCGCCGCCTGCTGTTCCCGGACAGCCCGCCCCGGCGCCGGGCGCCGGCGGTTTCGTCGTGGGCGGCGTCACATTTGGCCAGTTCCAGGAGGCCTGCGTGGCTGCTTGTAACATTCAGTTTACCCAATGCCAGTCCATCGTCGGCCCTGGCATCCAGCTCACCCAGTGCCAGTCGCAGTTCATCGCCTGCCAGGGCACCGCTGCCAACGCCAACGCCACTGCTCCTGCTCCCACCACCATCACCCAGACCGTGGTGCTGCCCCCCGACCAGACCAACCCTCCGGAGGCCACGTCGCACATCGTCGCAGGTGGTGGCGAGGTCATCGCCACCTCGGCCCTGCCCTCCGGTGCTGTGGCCACGATAGGCGAGAGCGGCGTCAGCATCATCACTGTCACCGCCACGCCCGCGCCTGCCGCTCCCGAGCCAACGGCGCCGATCGAGGCCGCAAAGCCCGTGCAGCCCGTGCAGCCCGTGGAGGAGGCCGAGCCCATCACCTCCGTCGTGATCATCACCATGGCGCCCAACCCCACCCAGCCCGGCGTGCCCCAGATCAGCACCGCCATCGTCACCATCCACCCGCCCCCCGTGCCCCTTGCCCCCGAGGGCGGCAAGGACCAGGCCGCTCCACCCCCCCACGTCCAGACCGGCGTCGTCACCATCACCATGGGCGACCAGGTCGGCGTCATCACCATGACAGTCCACCCCTCGGCCGCGCCGACCGCCGCCGCGCCCACCTGCCCCGCGCCCGTCACCGTCACCGAGACCGCCTCCAACTGCGGCACGGCAGTCACCCTCACCGAGACCATTGTCGCCACCGCCACGCCTGTGCCTGAGCAGGGCCAACAGGAGGTCGAGCAGCCAAAGAAGTACAGGCCCTTCCGCCACAGCTTTGTCGACCGCAGGCGTAGCACGCCGCACGACGTGCGCAGGAATCACAGGCTTCTGTAGAGTGCGGTACTCGCGACGCGTAGTCAGACGACCCACTCGGTCACGTAGAGGGCAAGATAGAACATGAGCGGGGAGGGAAAAACAAAAGATACGTTTCTTATGCGATACCCCGTAGCGGGGTGAGGGCCACGGGGAGAGGCAACCAACGGAGCTCTGGGACTTCCACGATACGAGCTGGGTTCGACGGGAAGGGGTTTCGAGATAGAAAGGTCAGGATACCTACATTGGTTGTACGGTTCTCAGGTTATTTTGGGTCTATACTTTTTTTTTTGGTCTTTTTTATACTTTCCAGCAGGGCCAGGACCCTAGCTAGCATCTATATCCCACGGGCGCCGAAGGATGGCGATACGACACACTCATTTAACGCTACACATGAACAGAATACCATGTATCTCGAGCCGCTGCCTCTGTAATCATTGAATGTGTGAGAACATTTGACTGAAGTGCGCGCGTAGACAGGGAGCTCGTAGAGTGACTAGAGGGCAATCAGATGATCGCTGTTGCGCGTGTCTAGTTACTCATTCGACGATAGGATCACTGAAATAATCAGGAAGAGCACGTATGTTGGCCCTGCCGTCCCTTGCCTTCTTCCTTGGGCGACCCCTTCGCCGCGGTCCGTCATGTACACTCAGCTGCACGATAGGCGCGGCAGAAGGTACTTGAGGTCGTGCTAACCTGCCAACAAATCTTTCGGGATGATAGAACTTGTGTGGCTCGTGTATGTTGTCTTCGATGGCAGTAATCGGTGCTCGCGTATGCGTCGCTGTACAATCTGGACTATGTTCCTTTGATGTTATTCTTCTCAGCGATTGTTCATGTTGGCACGGAGAGAGATGCCGCAAGCCTGCTTCTGAACCAGCTGAGCCGTCGTATAATGTTGGCAGTTGACATGGTCCTGCTACTGTCGGGTCCGATGCCAGTGGCGATGAAGTTGTTACTATTACTGCTGCCGTTGGAGACCCTTCTCGGGTGGTATAATCGTACTCTTCACGGCCTATCGTATTGAACGACAGTGAGTCGCATGTAGCATTTGTCTCCAGGGCCTGTGAAGAGTCCTCACTGTCGCTACTCGGCAGACCCATGACGCTAATAGCCTCATGTATGACTTCCAGAGAGGCAGTCTGGAGGGTATCCCCACTTCCATCACTGATATCAAGAAACTTGGGCCACGAATCATTCTCGCAATGTACAGTCTCTTGCTGCCTTTTGGAGTACTGACTATCCGTGATGTTCTCTTCTTCAATGTCAACAGCAGCCAGGCAATTGATCGTTTCGCTCATGTTCGTCTGCACAGGTTCGTGAGGAGTGTCATTCGCGTGGACATTTGTCTGTGACGACTCGACAACGTTGTGACTGTCGTGACTGCTCAGAGGAGCAGCCATCGCCTGAGCACACAGCTGAGCGTGCGGCGAGATACAAGCTGACTGGGTAGCGCCTTGTACATTACCTGCCGATGTGGAGACTCTGATATATGCTGCGGATTCGGCCACTGGGGAGGTGCTCATAGGTGGATAGTCGAATCTAGGACCATATACCATCTCGCCCTGGGTCTCGACAGAGCTGGATCCAGGACTGACTGCAACGTCCGGTGGGCTGACGTTCGGTGAACTTATTCTCACCACTTCAGGTGTGCCAGGTGAAGGAGAAGTCGCAAATGAACGCCATCCCTCCCCGTGGCTGCAATCAGACGGCACTCCAGACAACATCGGACTGCTACCAACTTGGGCAATATCACTGAAAGAAGCCTTGGTACTCAAAGACAGTGACTCATGGATCAGGTCTAGCTTGGCTACACGCCTAGGAACGGGATGGTGGACATACGCCGGTAAAGACTGCGCATGAAGAGGTTGATTTTGATGGCTCTGATGCCTGACACTGTATTGCATGGCATATTGACTCGAACTGTTGGCCGTGCTGACAGATTTGACTGGGCTATGTTCGGATCTCTTTCTTTGAAGGGAAGTAGAGGTGAGTTTCAGTTTATAATGGTCAGTTGGAATTCGCGATGCAGATCGCCTCTTTCCTGGCTGCGTTCCCGCTTCACCTTGAAAGTACGGGGATGGGAGGTGTTTGTTGCCACGATGATTAGACTTTATCTGAGCCGTGCTGCAAGTCTGCTTCGTGGAAGAGCTTGCCACCGTACGGCTCGCACGAGAATCGCTGTGTCGAACATCCTGACTGCCAATCCTGATTCGGATATCCCGCGGCCGCGGATCTGAGTGATCACGTTGACGCTTGTGCACAGTATGCCGTGTATGCGAGAAGTGCTCGTATGTGCGATCGCTGTTGCCTCCAAATCCCTATTTCTGCGGCTCGGTGGAACGACACTGGAGAGCAGCTTGAACAATGAAAGGTTTCTGATTTGCGATACCAGCCCAGTCTTTTGTCTTCAACAGTCGGCGACGTCTAGCATCGAAATCTTGCTCTCGCTGCCTGCGGCTCAGGGAACGGGTACCTTGGGGCGCGGTATATCTGTTGTGTATTACCGGGGTCGCGTACGCGGTGTCGAAAACCCGCTGTGGTTGTAGCTCCCCTGGGAATGATGGTATGTCGATATCAGGGAGTGGAACGGCTGATCGTGCCTTTGCGAAAAACTGTTTCTGCTTGACGACATCTGCCTTGCGTCCTCTGCCGCGCGTGTGCCGCTGCAGGGCTCCTTCGGCCCAATTCATGAGACTGAGAGAATCTCGTGTTGATACGGCTCGAAACTTGTTTTCTCACGGAGGAAGAAGGGCAGCGCACTGGCGTTGGATATCGCGATATGTCACCAGATGAGGAGACGAAGTTATGATTGGATTTGCTACGACTCTCAATACAACTGACATCCATCCTCTGCCTCACCGCTGGTACGAGTTGACTCACTCGCACTTGCTCAGAGAATCGAGCAGGCAGGCCGAGTCTTCCTTCCCAAACTGCATGCGCACGCATGACTTGAATCAATCAGCGCAAGCTGCGCCTTCTTCGAATGCGCCTTCTTCGAAGGGCGACCGGTGAGCCGCAACAAGCGGTGTCCAATGCGCCGACCAATGCGACCTCGAGCAGGTACTGCTGAGATGACGTTGGCAGTACCTTCCTTGCTGGACCTTCCTTCCGCGAACAACAGGCAGCCAACGCATGAAGCACAACCGTCGGCTTCGCGTCGATCAGGGCGACGTCCTCCGAGCGTCAAGACAAACTTCAACAATGTCTTGGCTCATTTTCGAGGGGCAGGTCGGCGACACTGGTGCCTCTGCCGAACAAAACACAACTCAAGGACTTGGGTTGTAGTGCTCCACCGTGTGTGTGTGTGTGGTACCTCACATGTCGACCGCCTGACGAGTGACAGGACAACAATGTCTCCACCGCCGTTTGGCCGACGGCCCATACCGCAATCAGTACATGGACCGCAAGGACCGACACTTGCCGTCCGCGACGTCACGATGTCACCGCGCGAATAACATTCAGTCTTGCTCAGTCGGTCCCAAAATGACCCTCGAAGCCAGTTCGACAGACGCGAGGCAGCCTACGCATGTGCCATGTTGTCACATCGCCGCAGCTGTCCTGTTTGAGCGAGGCAGACGTCATGGGCTGTAGAGGCCTTGTCGAAAGGGTCTACAAGGCCTCGAGGGCTCGTTGCACACTGCCGAGGGCAGAGGGCCGGTGTTCGGCTCCCGACCAATGAGGGAATATCTCTTTGTCACCACCAGCCACTCAGCGACGTTACCGGCCAGTTCTCGTGGGCCTCTCAGGCCTCTTGGGCCCCAAGCTCTCGTGTATCGTTCTCGAATTCCTGTCGAAGCCTTTTGCGAGGCAGGACGGCAAACCAGGGTTCCGTCTGCGGGCTTGTCGAGGAGGGCGCAAGGGCGCGTTCGGCCGGCGGCGCGCGGTTGTGTCATGTCGCTTGACAGTCGGAGAAGGCGACATGCGAGCCCAAGGAATCTCCGGTCCTGGGCACCATCGTCATCAGCTTGGTCTCAAGAGATCAGCCTGTCGGCCTGCCACTCTGCCAACTCGTCTGTCGCTTAGCAACCGTCATGCGTCGCATCCCGCCAGTCGATCCCAGAGCCATCGCAATCGAGACCTGTCGATACCTGCTGGAGCCGGGCTTTGCGCGCACGCGACATTCGGCCTGCTCAGACTGAAGAGCAAGTGTGGCAGGCAGCGGCCCGCCTGAAAGCAACGAGATGTTGTATGGAAGTATGTACGGCACGACAATCGACAAGAAACGACCGGGGAATTTCTCATTCAACATCTTTTCCGGGATGCCTGCGCGATTAATGTTTCTTGAAGGCACGACCAGTCGGACAGGATGCAGTGTGAGGCTTGAGAAGATTCAATTATGCTGCACGTCAAGGGCCACCAATCAGCGACCGATGATAAGACCCTGCATGACGGATGCGCCAGCAGCGCCAGTGAGGGCCCACGGCGCACCATTCCTCGACGGCTTTTCCCAGTTGCCAGATAGCCCCCTGGCGGGTCCTGGCCGTACTGCTGCCGTAACATCTTCGATTGACGATGTGTGATAATGGAATCATCAAAGTTTTACTTCACTGCTTACTCAGAGCGGCAACGGAGTACGGGGACTGACGGATTGACGATGGAATCGAGTAAAATATCCCAAGGGGTGTGTTTTGCGTTGAGTCGGGACCCTTGGGGTACGTACTGGGGTACATGTCGTTAATGCGACTCGGTTCATTGGGCTCTGTTGCTTCTGACGGTACTTCGACTACTTCTGACGCAGGTACCCAAGTTGCCGTGTCTCTTTACCTGTGCCGTTGCGCCTCGAGCACACCGCCGCAAGCGTGTCTTGATGCTTTGGATCCCAGGAATGCAGCAGGATGCTCCCCCCAGCGACGCGCTCACGGTGGTGCTCGCCAGGCTGGCGGACAAGTTACTATTGATAACTGGGCCACTCCCGAAGGGTTTTCCAGAAAAAGGCGTCCAGTTGGCCAGCTCACCAGCATTGAATCCATCTCGGGCTATGTCACGGAGGAAAAGCAAAGTAGAAGAACAGTAATGTGCTGACGAACACGACGACTGACATTGGCCATTTCTCTCTTTCATCAACCCGCTGTACCCCAGGCCACTGGAGATTGTCCATCCGATCGGAACGACTCTCGCTCGACTGAAAAGGTCTCGGGTGAATTGTCGCGACTGGGTAAAGGGGGCCGGCGGCCGGCGAAGCGGACAGGAAGGGGGTGCCACCTTCGCGCAGAAAACACCGAGGGCAAAGGAGGTGCGATTCCGGCGGCGACTGATGTGGAGGGCTGGGTCGGCAAGTCGGTACTTTCACCCCACCAACTTGCCCCTCGCCGTTTGGCTTCTGATAGGAGGGCCCCCACCATGCACGAGTTTCACTTTGCGTGAGAATCCTCGCGCGGCTGAGGAGGCAGTAAATAGCCTGTAAGATGCTCAACGTCCGGTTTGGCTCTGGCTGAGGGCCAGCCTGCAGTGCCCATAAGGAACGTCAAAGGAACAGGCAAGTCTTAGTGCGTGCTTTTCAAGGTCTCGACTCGGTGGCATGTGGCAGAGCGCAGCCAAAAAGCAACAAGAGACGCGGCCTGGACACGACCCCCCCAATCCGGCTTTGTCTGATATCGCGGCGCCCCGCCAACGAGCCCGATGGGCGCACGGGCAGGCGTCGGCCAATCTACAGGGTGTTGCGAGGGCCGATCTGCTGGATCCAAGAGGATATCAGGTCGTCGTCCTTCCTTCCTTCGAGGAGACGGGGGTGTGGCTTTCGGGAGGGGGGGGGGGGCAAGAGCGCGGGCAGGGCCAGGGCTTGGATTGCGGTTGATAATACTGATGAGCTGACTGGCGACCACACCAGCGAGCTAATTATCGACAGGGTGCACCAGCAATCTGGGGAAGGAAGGGAATCGGAGGTTGAGCTTGGGGCGGCTGAGCTGGTACACGGGGGGGGCCATGTGGATGAACTCGTGGGCGGCAGGACAAGACACGGCGTGGTGGCGGGCGCTCATTGTCATTGTCAGTGCCTCTGGTATCGTTGCGTTGCTCCCAATCGCCGCGACCAGCGAGCGAGATGCAATGAGTTTTGGCCATCGGTCAGCCGCTGGTCAGCTCGGTGAGCGCTCCAATGGGAGACGGCAATGGAAAGTCTGGACCCCCTCAAGACATCAAGGCAGAGTTCCCAGCCAGAGAGAGCTCAGAGCAGACTCAGACCAGGCTCCCTTTTATTCTGGCGGGCTTGTATGTGTCGTAAAGCCCGGGCCCCAGGTGCCACAGCCACCGGACGGACGGCGCTGGCGCGTTTCCAAGGATAGAACGCTGACTTTCGTGTTGGGACAGCTCTCACGTAACAAGTATCTGGTCTCACGAGCGGTCGGTCAGCGCCTCGAACACACACACGGGTACTGCGCATAGTCGTCATGATGGGCTGTGGAGGTCGGGCCGGTCGACACGGTGAAAAACTGCAGGGAGGGGGTAGAGGAATGAACAACGTTTCTTCCCCCAACATTGGCCTTTTTGGGACAGCCGGTTGAAGTCATTAGTCTTGGGGTATCCTGGCATCACGATGCCCGGACGGAACAAGAAGGAGAGAGAGAGAGAGAGGTACCTGGCTGGGAGGTACATTGACGGGCACCCAGGTACCTATCCAAGGGGGAAGATTAGGAGTCATCGCAGAGACCAGACCAGCGGCAAGTCACTCACGGTCACTCACACGCAGGCCACGCTTGTGCTGGGCGTTGTCTGGGATGGACATGAGCTGGTACCAAGCCCCCACCAAGGCCCCAGGCCGGGGGGTGGCTGCCCACTGAGGTGGCCGGGATAAGTCGGGCACCCCACCACCCCTCCCACCCCACCGCTTGCGATAGTTGGGATGGGGTGTCGGTAGGCCCCAGCGAGCGGCGGCGGCTTGGGGCTTTAGGTAGGTACCTGACAATGTACCCTGCCTCGCGCGCGCCGGCGTCCCTCAGGTGTGCTGCTGCGGTGCCTTGTGCGCTCTGCTTCTGGTGCGCCCAGCCGACAACGGGCTGCTAGAAAAGATGGAAACATAAAACCAACTCGGGTCCCCAGTGCTTCCTTATCGCCTTTTCTTTACGATTCCTCATTCTACACCCTCAATCTTCTACCATTTCTGACGTCGGTCAAACCACACAGACTTGCTATACACACAAACCTCTCTGTTCTTACCGGACACCAGCAACCCGTTCCTTCCAACTCGTCTCCCCCACTACCCACACAAACACCGCAAATATGGTGAGTTCTTGCTGCTGCCCCACGACATGACGGCTCTTTCAGGGGCGCCTCCTCGACGGGCACACTACCATGTTGAACAGCATGCTGATTCTTTTTTCTACCAACAGGCCGAAGCTCAGATTTCAAGGACGGACAACCTGATGAAGTATCTCAGGCTCGACCAGAAGGGTTCCATCATTGCCGAGTACATCTGGATCGACGCTGATGGCGAGACCCGTTCCAAGGCGAGGGTGAGTCGACACTTCCTTCCACGCCCCGATCTATACACATGAACGAAACTTGCACACAAAACACACGCCTGGATGTATTCATTGCACATGCATCCCTCTCCCTGTCCGAGTTGATGCGTCTGTTGCAGCGCCGAAAAGCGCATTGGCACAGGAGCGAAAACTCGGGGGCACGGCGGCCCGGCTGCAAGCGGTCGGTTCGGGGCTTCTGGGGCTTCTGGGCCCCTGGGCCTCGCCTGGTCCGGCTCTGCTTCTGGCTGTGGCGGCGGAGTGCAAGAGTGTGTGGGGCGTCGCATGAGTCGTCTTAGGGTGCCCCTCCTCCCCCTCCCCCTCTACCACTCCCCTACAACCCTCTGAAGCCAGAGGCGAAGAAAGACTCCACATCAGGAACCAAAGCCTCTCTAGGCGTCCACCGACCCAATGACGGTCCCCCCGTGGCCGGGCGAAGCAGGGCGCTGGATCCGCCGCCGGCTGGAGGGGTTACTCCAGCGACCTCAACGAACCACACACTTTCCGAGTCGGCTCCTTCAGTTGCCTCGGCCATGGGGGGGATGATGTCAGATCGGAACGCCAAGCTGGCCGCGATCGATGGATTGACGACATTGCATCTCATGCCCTTTTGCCCCTCTCGTCACACGATGCGTCTTCATCATCATACCCGTGACGAACCTTGCCGCTAATCAAGACTTCAGACACTTGCCGAGAAGGAGTACGCTGTTGACGATCTTCCCACCTGGAACTTCGACGGCTCTTCCACAGGCCAGGCGCCCGGCGACAACTCGGACGTTTACCTGAAGCCCGTTGCCGTCTTCGCCGACCCCTTCCGTGGCTCCCCCAACATCCTCGTCCTGGCCGAGTGCTGGAACGCCGACGGCACCCCCAACAAGTTCAACTACCGCCATGAGTGCGCCAAGCTGATGGAGGCTCACGCCGAACACGAGCCCTGGTTCGGTCTCGAGCAGGAGTACACCCTCCTCGACCTCAGCAACCGTCCCTTCGGCTGGCCCTCGAACGGTTTCCCCGCTCCCCAGGGCCCCTACTACTGCGGTGTTGGTGCCGGCAAGGTCGTTCAGCGCGACATTGTCGACGCCCACTACAAGGCCTGCCTCTACGCCGGCGTCAAGATCTCGGGCACCAACGCCGAGGTCATGCCCGCCCAGTGGGAGTTCCAGGTCGGTCCTTGCAACGGCATTGAGATGGGTGACCAGCTCTGGCTCGCTCGTTTCCTCCTCGCCCGCATTGCCGAGGAGTTTGGCGCCAAGGTCTCGGTCGAGCCCAAGCCCATCCCCGGTGACTGGAACGGTGCCGGTCTGCACAGCAACTTCTCCAGCAAGGAGATGCGTGTTGAGGGCGGCATGAAGCACATTGAGGCCGCCATCAAGAAGCTTGAGGGCCGTCACCTCGAGCACATTGCCGTCTACGGTGAGGGCAACGAGAAGCGCCTGACCGGCAGGCACGAGACTGGCTCCATCGACCAGTTCTCCTATGGTGTCGCCACTCGTGGCGCCTCCATCCGCATTCCCAGGGAGTACGTCATCACCCACCCCCCCTCATCCTCCATTCCTCATGACCACAGCGCTAACTCGTCCCCCCAGATGTGCCGCCAAGGGCTTCGGCTACTTCGAGGACAGGAGGCCGGCGTCCAACGCCGACCCCTACAGGATTACGGGCATCATGATGGAGACCATTTACGGCTCCGTCAACTAAAGATGCGAAGGGTCGGTGTGAATGGGATACCCAACGGTTACTATGGGAGCATGGCAAAAGAGATTGCGATGCGGGTTACTTGCTTGCAGCGTGTTACATATAGATTTCGGTCTTGGTCACTCATGAATTGGGTCATGAGAATTGAAGCATTTTCAAGGAACATGTCTTGGCTTTCATGCATGAGCTCGTGTGTGTGTGTGTGATGGGCATGTGGTGAGAGCAGACGTGAATTTTGCTGTGAAGGATGAGCGTGGGGTGACTGCCGACAGCCCGTGTGTGCGTCAAACCTGGTGGGGCTCATCGATCGCGCTCGACCCCGCACTACCTCCGCATTCTCCGCATTGATACATGTCACGTGAGCACCTGCCTCGTTTCCCTGAGAGGCAGGAACGAGACGGATCGAGGCCATGATCAACTTCACCTTCATCGACCTCGACTACCGACACATCTTACGCTCAACCACAGAAGAAGTTGAAGGTACCGTTTTCTCGAACGAAATCTCTACTTCACCATACACCTTAACACACACAGACGACGAGGCATCAACCAAGAGGTTGGACAGCAAAACAGGTCCTCATATATTAGATATTACACAATAACAACTCATGAGCCCGATTCGCAACGGCACCGGGACACGATGATGGGAGACGATCAAATGTACAGGAGCCAGGCGGCCTAGGCGTAACGATGGCGCCTGCAGGAGGGCTGTGTACACACCGCTAGGAGTCTGGCCAGGGATGTTCCAACCTTCTTCCCTCCGTTGGGCGCCATTTTACTCGATGAGGAGCTGCTTCTCCTTCTTGAGAGACTCGATGAACTCGACGGGCACCTTGAGCGTCTGCGCAGCCACCTCGGGGGGTGTCAGGGCGAGCCACTGCGTCAGGGGAATATCGGCGACGCGGTCCGATTTATAGATCTCGATCCAGACCAGGTCTTCCGTCTCGGACGTGTTCTCGATGTAGTGGCTGGTTTTCTGTTAGCTTTTTATTTCTTTCTTTCGTTCATAACCAGCGGCCCGTGCGACAGCCGCGACGGGGAGAGGCACAACGCACCCAGAGTTGTCGGGGAAGGCAGCCGTGTCACCAGAGCTGAAGTCAAAGGTGCGGGCGTTGCCGTTGCCAATGAAGACGGTGGCACGAGCGGTGCCCTTGTGGAAGTACAGCCACTCCTCAGCCTACGTGTGTTGTCTGTCAGCCAACGTGGTCCTGCCAGACGCGGGGGATGGTGGATGCTGTCATACGTTGGGGTGCCAGTGGAGCTCGCGCAGGCCGCCGGGCTTGAGAGTCACAAAGGTGGCGGCAATGGTCTCGCTGGCGGGGAAGTTGGTCGAGTCGATCTTCCAGAACTCGCCGCCGTTGCCGGGCACAGACTCCGAGGGGTGCTGGAAGGTGCGGTAGATGAAGGAGCTGTTGCCCGAGAGGTAGTCCTCGGGGCCCGTGCCGGTGACGTTCTTGGTGGCCACGTCGGCGGGGTTGATGTAGGGGTGCTTCTCAGGGAGTTCGTCAAAGACCTTGGGGTCGACACCAAAGTTCTTGGCGATGATGTCGCGGGGGGTGTGGTTCAGCCAGTCGACAATGTTGAAGGTTGTTCTGTCACAATGTTAATACTGGTCTCGCCCTGCTTTTGGGGTCGGCGCCAGATGAGACGTACCCGACTTTCTCGAAATCAGCCTCGTCAAAGACGAGAAGGAACTCGTTGTGGTCGTCGAGACCCTGGACGGTGTGGGCGGCGCCCTTGGGGAAGTACCAGATGTCGCCGTACTCGAGCTTCTCGTTGACAAACTTGCCATTCTCGTCGACGGCAGAAACGAGAACGGAGCCGTTGTAGACGAAACCCCACTCGGCCTGCAAAAGACATCAGCGTTGGGATGGCGGGGAAGAGGGGCCACTTCGGGAAGACTTACGACACGGTGCCAGTGAAGCTCGCGGATGGCGCCCTTCTCAAGGTGCTGCTGGGCCGCCGCAATGTCGTGGCTCTGCGGGAGGTCTTGGATGACCTGAGTACGGACCCAACCACCCTTGAGAAGCTTGGTCTTGGAGTCGGAGAACCTCCACTTCAGGTTTGGAACCGTGCCGGCGTCGGTAGACTCCTGGCCAAGGTTGCTTGGGTTATCAATGTCAACCTGGTTGTTCGTACCTCCTACTCTGGCTGTCAGTCGGCAACGAAGGGGCGAGACAGGGCAGAGGTGCGGATGTGCTCACCAAGAATAGGGCCTCCTTTGCCATCGGCAGAGATGGGCTGGCCAACGTCGAACTGGGCACCATCGTCACTGCGCTTGACGTTCTGCGGAACGGCACTGACACCGGCGCAGAGGCCGAGAAGGCCAACGAGCGAAGTAGACAGCTTCATGATGGGCGGGAAACGAAAGCGTGGGCAATATCTGCAGGAAGGAATGGCCTGACGAACAGGAGGCTTCTCTCCCTTGCGGGGCGGTCAAGGCAATGTCTTTATAGCATGGTGTGTGTCACTCGAGCAGACGCAATCGATCATCATGACTTACACCGCGAAAGGCTCAATGTCGCCATGCGCAGTCGCCGAATAAACTCAGTCGAGCCGTCACGACCACGCCCAACGTCACTCCCAACCAAGAGCAACAAGACGGCGTTGAGGCATATGACGATCGCCCATCCAGCTGCTGGTCTGACTGGCGGACGATGGCGACATCACAGCCTGTCGGCCGTATTGTAACACCAAACCAACTATTGATTATGCTGTCTCACAGCGAACGTTGACGCAGACCCTGGGGCTTATTGAGATGACTTATTCAAAAAGCAAGTATGCAGCCCGAATCGGGTGGCTGTTGTGATTTTGCGGTTCAAAAAGGCCTGGAGGACGCCAGGGCCGCATTCGACATCGGGCCCGAAAATAACGACATCGTGGCGCGTGGGGTTTAGCTCGTCCGTGCCGTGCTATGCCGGCCGATCTTTGCAAGATTTCACCATGCGCATCTACATGTACCCTTGACATCGACAGCAGGGCAAACTTTCAGGTCGCCCAGCCGGGAATATCTGCAAGCCGTTTACTCTTGGCACGGCAATTGAATGGATTGTGGCGTCGTGCGCATTGATCTCAGTGGTGATGACACCTCATGCTGGTGTTGGGTGCGCAGGATCTCGCACCGCAACTTACACCCCAGAGTGGACAGGGGAGAGGGGCATCGGCATGTTCCATGACCATTCCCATGACACCGGATGACTGTTCGTTTTTCGTTTCATCTGATTGGCCTCTGTATTTAACCTCTCTGCTGTTTGAGTCTTATTTCAGGAACAGTCAGGGGCACTGCCAGTTGCTTCTTCGAACCGCACTCATGGGGATTACGTCCTGATGGCATCATGGGATTTTGAGCATGGCGCATGAGCGCTTGTCTCAACGAAATGAGCCAACACACAACATTTGAGAGCATGACCTGAGCTGACCAGAACGTGGACTGACAGGCAGATCGTCGTCGAATGGGGGTTTCGCCGTGGATCAACGTGGGAGGTTTCTCAGTCCCATGACTGTTTGTCTTCCCAACATCCAGTCACTTACCGGCCACGGCGAGGGTTGATCACACCGGTAGAGCGCAAGATTTGTGATAGCCTCTGCCCTGACGTGCATTTCACGTACGTTGGGCCGCGGGGCCAGTGGAACAGTCACGACGCCATGAAAGACTAATGCTGGCGATGAGCAACGCTATGAGCATTCTTCCCGCACTTGACCTCCCGGCACTTGACCCCTCCGTGAGGTCAACGGTTGTCATCACTCTCCTGATTCGTCCCAAGTGGAATAATCAGCAGACGGACCCCCATGATCTGGCCGCCCCTGCCGCTCTTGGGCCTGTGTTCGTCCCCGCCGGCACTTGACTCTGCCGGCGACAGACAAATAGAGGTGGCTCGACATGTCTGATCCCTTTGCTACTGCAGCATAATGTCTGACTATCGACAGCTCGCATAGGATCTTCTCCAGTCCGATGCCGATCACATCCATTTAGGCGCCCAGCCTTGGGTCAGCCTCACGATGGACACCCCTATTCGGAACTTCAAATCGACTTGGCGGGTTGCCGTTAACCTCATTGAGCTGTAAAGGGCCAGTGTTCATCGTCATTTCCACACTATGGCGACATCTGGGGGATCTTCGGCGCTGTTAGTCCCGGCGTCATGGGGCGAGGTCGCCGACTCGATCACCGCCGGCCGGCTAGAGCTGTTGATACTGCCATTCAGGTCGTCGAACGGCTCCATGGCCAGTCGAGATGGTGAATCAGAGGAGGCGTGACCTGCGAAAGACACGATATGGTGAGCATGGAGTTGAGGATGATGCCATTCACACTAATGGATCAGCAAAAGAAGTCTCTGAGTCGAAGGCATCTGGGTACTGCAACGGCGGTTTGCCTGAGATCAAAGATCTATAAGACCGCACGATTATCTCGACCAGAATCGATTTTGTTCTTCATCTCACAACTCAGTCACTCATTCACCCTCATCCTCATCCTCGTCATCGACCTTCATTCCTGAGCATCCTTCAACATGATTTCCAAGACCGCCCTCGCCGCTTTGGCTGGCTATCTCCTAGCCGCCTCAGCCAGCCCTGTCAACAGCCCCGGTGCTGAGAAGCGACAGTCGCCGCTTCCTGATCTCCTGGTTGTTCCCGGCCTTGCAAAGGTTGGAGAGCTCCTCGGTGGTCCCAAGGCCTCTCCCCGTGACCTTCCCGTTCCGGGTCTCAAAGGACTCCCGATCCCCGACCTCCCGGTCGTCGGCGGCGCTGGCCTTCCTCTTGGTGGCGGTGGTCTTCCTCTCGCCGGTCCCAGCCCTCTCGGTGGCGGTGCCAGCCCTCTCGGTGGTGTCAACCCTGTCGGTGGTGCCAACCCTCTGGGCAGCGTCCTTCCCAAGCGCCAGATCAGCCTGCCTCCTCTGATCCCCGCCATCCCCGGTGTCACGGAGCCCCTGGCCGACAATGCCATTCCTCTGCCGGTTCTGCAGCTTCCGACTCCTCCCCTTGATAGCCCGCCTTTCACTGGCTCCAACATCAAGCCCAAGAAGATCGGTTACTTCTGGACCGGTGCGGGTGACAACAAGCACAAGGATTTCCTCATCACCATGAGTCTTGATGATGTGAGTTTCTCTTCCATCTCCACAACAATCTGCGAATGATCGAATCACCCTGCTGACATGACTTTTCTAGGATACCTTTGGTGAGATCATCACCCTCACTGATGTTCCTAGCAGTGGCAACTCCCCTCACCACCTGGGTCCCTCTGCCGACGGCAAGACCCTCATCGGTGGCGGTCTCCTCAGTCTCCTCAAGACGCAGGACACTGCTTTCTACTTTGATGTGTCGGATCCCTACAACCCCAAGTTCTCGCACAGCAACCGCGCTCTGCTGAGCTCGATTGTCGACGAGATCCGCGCCAAGCCCGAGGGTGGCTTCTTCATCACTTACATGGGTAGCGCCGTCGGCACCTCGCCCGGCCGCCTCGTCGAGACGGACGCCGCTGGTAACATCATCCACGAGTGGCCCGAAGATGTTCAGGGCACCCTCAACATTCTCGGCGAGCAGTTCAACCCCCACGGCCTCAGCATCGACTTTGAGAAGAAGATCATCCTGACTTCGGACTTTGTTGTGCCTCTCAGCATTCTCAAGCCCACTCTCGGCATCCAGAAGGCTTCGACTCTCAGGCTCTGGAACCTCGAGGACAGGACCATCATCTCGACCATCACCATCCCCAACGGCGCCGGTATTCAGGACGTCAAGTTCATCCCCGGCAACGAGGAGAGCGCCGCCATTGCCACGTAAGTCTACCCCCTCGCGCTCTGGACGGTCCTGCATCATGCTAACTAATCATCGCAGCGCCGTCGGCCCTGGTGAGGTCTGGATCATCTACCCCTTCCGCAAGGACGCCAACGGCAACCAGGGTGTCGCCGAGCTTCTCTACTCTCTCGGCCCCAAGGCTGTCGACTCTCTCGCCATCTACTCTGACATTTCTGACGACGGCCGCTTCGCCTACTTCACCATCACTCTTGGCAACCACGTCGCTGCTCTTGACATTTCTGACCTCACCAACGTCAAGCGCCTTGATGACCCCGAGGAGACCCAGCCCATCATCGGCCCCCACTATGTCAAGATCAGCCCCGACAAGAAGAACCTGCTCGTCACTGGCTACTTCGTCCAGGGCGGCGACATCTCCATCGTCAACACCCCCGGTGACTACAAGGCTCACTGGATCGACATCAACTACGATGGCAGCCTCAGCTTCAACCGCACCGTCGACTTTGAGAGCATCTTCACCCGCGACCGTGGTGGTGCCCGCCCTCACTCGTCGGTCATCTACGATCTCACTGACCCCGAGAACCCCAAGTACTACTAAGCGGCCTGGCAAGGCATGCAAGCACCAGCCCACGCTCGCTCATGGGATGGGCCTCCGCATCCGAGTCTGCGAATAAATAGATTGGGGGATGACGGCGTCAATTTGACTACACAGGTGCCCGGGACATATCATTGACATTCTCTTCAACTAATACTTATATCTTCTACATGTTTTTTGTAGGCTTGGAGTTTTTTTTCTTCTTTATCACTTTTCCACAAGATACAAGACTGAGAGGAAAAGTGGGGAGCGAGCAGTCGTTTGCGCATGAGATGATGAAGCTCAAAGATGGATGAACAGAAGGCAAGAGGTTGGATGTCGGGTGTCGGATATGGATTCATTGTATCTATCCTGATTGAAGCACATTCGTTTTTAGCCAGTCTATACACAAGTCGAGGTCGTATCATCTTATCAAGTCTTTCCGGTGACCGCTCGGTTCCATGTTGACCCATCACTCCTTCTCTTTTGCCTGGCTCAAGTATCTCCAGGGAATGACTGCTGTTAGGTTCGTTCCTGCCTGGCCGTTTTGCTAGGGCAGGCACGCCTGGTGTGGTCGACGTCATTGGCGCCTGCCGCTTCCGATTCTAGGACTTACACATATATGCCCATGTCTCGCCGTTGTCCTCGTGCGTCCCAGCTGTCCACCCACCGTTGGCGGTGCAAACATCACATGTGTTCAGTCTGGAGATGCTTCGCGGCACAGACTTCGCCTTGATGTTGCATACTTAGCTGTGATTGAAGCCTGAAATCAAATGCGCCGCTTCCCCGCCAACAGAACGTGGCGTCGGGTCGCCACCGTTGGCAGTATTTGAGGAAAGTAAGACATCACAAGTCATGTGCCAAAATCCAAACCCAATCCTTCTTGATGTTGGAGAGGTGTCGAAACCCTATGCGTGGACACCCAATATCGTCGATATATAAGCATTCAGGGTAGGGCAATTCATCATCACATTGCGTCCAGGTGAGGCGACGACAATGGCGGGGCTTCGGTGGAAAGAGGCCGTAAAGGGGGCTACCGAAGTCTTGTTCAAGGAAGAGCCGAGGACCTTAGCCGATGGTGATCCTTGGCCAACCTGCGAACAGCTACACCCACTACATCACGACCCAGGAGGAATACAGGTTTGTGATTTTTTTCCCTTTCGCAGACGCGGTCGATACTTTTACTGATCTCATCAGCATACAAAGGTACGAGGGGGCCTCGACTTTCTATGGTCCGCACACGCTGGCAGCCTACAGAGATTGCACCATCCATTTCCTCCCTTACCTCTCAGCGAACCATTATACCCAATGCGTATGCAGGAGACCGGCCCTCTTCACCCGAACAATAAAAAGACTTTCTGAACCCCATATCGGACGTTGTACTCGATGCGGCGCCCAGCTTTCGCCGTTTTGGGGACGTCAAAATTGACCTCCGGACCTCGTACTTACGTTGGGGCCACAGTCAATGCGACGCTCGTGGGCGCCAACCTGCGGAACGATCTGCAACTGGAGCGCACTTATGCCGCCGTCGAGAGACTCAATGGCAAGAACGAGGGCGAGCTGCCGTCGGAAGATGAGTGAAAAGCCGTTTAGAGGCGATAGTGACTGGAGCCTCATCTTTGGCTTGCATAGAACGGGTACATCTTCTTTGCCGAACCTTGAGGCGATTTCATGTTTGGACTAGAGCGCTGGGTATTAAACTTGTCTTTGGACTCGTTTTATCGATTGTGGAAAGCTATCTGACCAGTAGAATTTCGGGGGTTGGGGGAACAATATCTTCGATCTGATTGTTCTCGTATGTGGCGTTAATGACACCACGGTCCTTCACAAACGGACGATTCAGACACGGGCTGGGCAGGGCAGTTGCCCGTAATCCTCCTATTCTTTATCTGCAGTGACAAACTCCCACCGTGGAGATGCTTTCCCGCACTGCGATGTAGAGCCTCCAAAGCTACCTAGGTAGCTTGGGGCATACAGGGTACAACGTCGAGAACAATCCAACCCGAGCGGGTGAGAACAATGCCGTCAGATGAATCACTCGTTTGAAGGAGTACAGAAAGAGTAGAAAATAAATTGATTCTAGGCCCGTGTTCGACGAGGTAGAAATACCCTTCCGTACTGCGTGTTCCTCTGCCTCGACTGGAGTAGAGACGGAATATCGGATCTGTCAGGGCATCGCCTCTTTAAACCACAAGCACGTCGTCTCTTGCCAGACAATCAGGAGAACCATGCAGAATTGGGCGACGTTACTGCTGTGGGCACTGGGCCTCTACCTTGTCTACCTGCCCATCCGCATCGTCACGGGACTGCTACGCAACATCTACGAGGTCAAGAAGACGGGGCTTCCATGGGTTCTGGCGCGTGAGTTATTGCACCCCCCCGCAGCGGGCTGATGACGAGGGAGGATGAACATGTGCTAACAAGAGAACCTCAGCCTTCTCGCCGTTTTCGCTCGTCTTCAAGTTCAGCTCGCCGATATGGGCACCACTCGTCAAGCGCCTCCCGCGAGCATGGTGGGAGAACTGGATCGAGTACGTGCTCCAAACCTGAGCTCCCAGCCGCCGAACCTCGTGTGCATGTGCTAATCCCCGGCGCGGCAGCATCATGCTGGATAACTGGGCCATCAAGTACCACCATCATCCGTTTGCGAAACACGGCGAAACGTTTGCTCTCGTCTCGCCCTTTCAGATCCTCATCATCACCGACAGCGCCGAGGTGATCCATCAAGTCAGCCAGCAGCGGGACAAGTTCCACAAGCTTCTCGAGATCTACGACATTCTGCGGCAATACGGCGATAACCTTCTTTCAACCGAGGGAGCGGCATGGCGGCGGCACAGGAAGGCCACGTCGCCGGCCTTTACGGAGAAGAATGTCGCTCTCATCTTCCAGGAGGCCGTTGCGCAGAGCCAGAGCATGATCCGCTACTGGACCGTGAACGAAGACGGCACGCCGCGCACAGGCACCATCGAGAGCGTCGACCGAGATACGTGCCGCTTCGCGCTGGGCGTTATTGGCTTCGTCGGCTTCGGCCTCCGCATACTGTGGCCGGGACAGGCCTCGCCCGAACATGCGGATCCCAAGTGGCACAAGTTTGAGAGCCTGGAGGTCCCGGAAGGCTACACTACGAGCTTTTCGGAGTGCCTTGTGGGCAACATGTCGAACATCATGTGGCTGATGCTGGCGCCGCCGTGGGTCCTAAGACGCCTGCCCTTCGAATGCACCAAACGCGCAGCGGATGCGCGAGAGGACTTTGACAAGTACATTGATGAGATGATTCGGAACAAGACGGAAGATGTCATCAAGTTCAACAACGGCGATCCGGGGATGGACCTGCTCGGGCATCTCGTCCGCACCAAGTACGCGCGCGAGGAGCCTACGAAAGTCACCAGCAGTGGTACTGAAAAGCAGTCTGGGGGCGCCGCATCGGGTCAGCTGAGGCTTGCCCCAGAACCGCTGCTGTCAGACTCGGAAATTATTGGCAACGCTTTCATCATGTTCATCGCCGGCCATGAGACGACAGCGAACGCGACGCACTTCACTGCCGTCCACCTGGCAGCGCGTCCTGCCTCCCAGAGGGCAGTGCAGAGAGACATTGATAACATTTTTGATCGCGATAGTAACCCGGCGAGCTGGAAATATGAAGATTGCATCAATCCCATGAGCGCATCCATGATCGGAGCATCCCTGAACGAGACGCTCCGGCTCATCCCAGCTGCGGGCGAGCTGCCGAAGCGGGTCAACCCTGAGAGGGATGGCATTGTGACCATTAACGGCCAGAGGCACGCTCTGCCAGGGAACGCGCACATACTGGTGGTGTCTCTCGCAGCGCACCGCAACCCGAATCTGTGGCCGACGCAGCCGAGTCGCATCACGGACAAGGAGAACGACTTGGACGACTACATCCCGGAGCGCTGGTTCAGGACTGGTGACGGGTCTGTGCAGTCGGGCGGGACCGAAGGTCAACAGGCCAATATTGCCGAAGACAACGACAGTTTCCGGTTCACCGACACGAGCGAGAAGATGTTCAGGCCTGCACCGGGAGCGTACACGCCCTTCGGCGACGGCCCTCGAAGCTGCATCGGGCGGCGAATCGCGCAAGCTGAGGTCATGGTGGCCATCTCGGTTCTCTTCCAGAAGTACAGCGTCGAACTGGCCGTGGACGAGTGGGCGACGGACGAGGAGGTCGAGAGGATGGACAGGGCGGCAAGGCGGATCCTATATGCCAAGGCACAGGCACGCTTCCGGGAGCTGATGACTACTCTGGCGTCGTTGATCACTGTGAAGCTGCCTCCAGGATCGCATGTTCCTGTCAGGTTGGTGCCCCGGGGACAGGAGAGGTTTGTGAACTTTGTAGATGACGGGACCTGAGTTATGTGCCTTTGGTCTCTGCCTTTGGTCGGGAACTACCTACCTAGGTAGGTAGGTAGGTAAGGTAGATACATGTAGATAGAATGCAAAGGAGGTTACGCGTAGGTATTGCCATGGCGTGCTTGATATTAAGTAGAGCGGGTCCCCATACCGAAGAGAGTGTACATGCCAAGGCATCAATACCTTATGGAAGGGACTACCGGGCTCCTGACCAAGTGAAGGAAGACCAGAGGAACGCGCCTGACGCGCCGGTCCCAGATTGGCGACAGGAGCGACCAAGACCAACATGGCTCTGGGTCTGGTGACTGCACCGCGTCGTGGCAGCAGACGGGACGGGAAGGAGTAGGTGGGACCCCCCCCCCCTGCACGCCTTCCAGGGCGCCCACATCCCCGGCAATCCCCCATTACTTCCCCCATCACGGGTTCACCGCACCAACCAAAACAAGAACCCCCCCCCCGTTAGGGAAAACATAAACAACTCCCGCAACTGAGAGGACCCCAGCTCCCGAACGCCTTGACACCCCCCCTCCTCCACACGTCTAGCTTCAGTAACAACATCATCCTCGTTTGCTAGAATCCCCCATCAACAACCTTGTCGTCGGCCTCCCAGCAATATCATCAAACGGCATCTTTGCAATAGCCACAATCGCTGAAGCGACGCGACTCATCCGGTACCCAACTTCACCCATCCGTTGAAGCCCAATGGCCACCATGTCTACATCGAATGCGTGGCTCGCGAGACAGCGCAAAAGCGATCTCGTCGAGCTCGCCGAACTTGTCAACCTTCAAGGGTACGTCTCGCATCCCGTCTGCCTCGCGCAGAAACCACGAGAGTTCCTCGCCCTCGGGCGTTTGATAGCCTGCGCTTCGTGCTGGGCGTGCTGGAGCGCGCGGCGCATCGCCATCATATCATATCGACCGGCGCGCGTCCCTGTCGACCATTCCACTCCCACCCCCGCCCCGAAGGCGCGTTATTTTGGCCGTCAGTTGCACTTGACTGACACGTTTCTCCTCCAGCTACGAAGGACAGAAGAAGGCCGATTTGGAAGTGACTCTCGACGAGTACCTCGCCGAGCATGAGGGCAAGTGGGCGACCGAGCCGCGCCTCACCCCCTACTACAATAGCCGCGCCAGGGCAGCCGGCTCGCCCACCAAGCGAGACCTGCCCAGGGATGACGCGCTGAAGGTCGTCAGGCGCCGCGCGACGCGAGCGGCCTCTGCTGAGATCCTCAGCCCCGAGTAAGTAACACCAGTCGTAGAGCTCGCAAAGCTCGCGCTCGGCCTCTGCGCCGACCATGATCACCTGCAGTCGACCTAACGCGTCGCAGCTCGGAACCCGACGCGGAGAGCGACCCCGCGAGTGCCCTCGTCGCGCGCACCCCGGCCCGCGCTCTCGCCCTTGCCAGCCGCATCCCGTTGCCCGCGACGCCGGCTGAGGTGGCCGAGGTCGTCGATCGCGGTACCGTCGCGGTGCGCGAGCGCGTCTCGTCCATCTACCAGGAGTCTGGCATCACGGAGCGCACACTGGCTGTGCGCGAGTCACTGTCGACCGTGACTGCCATCATCTTCACCATTGCGGCGTTTGAGCTCTGGTGCCTCAAGCGCGAGGTGCTGCCCAACGTGTACGCCTTTACGATCCCATCGTTCCCCGCCCTGGGCAACAACCCGCAACCGGTGTACGTGACGGACATTTTCCAAATCCTAACGTCGACATTCTGGTCGCCTGTTCTCACCTGGACGGCGACGTCGCTGGTTCTGCCGTCCATCTTTGGCTACTTTTACAACCTGAGCGCCGCTAGCCGGCCGACGGTGCGCCGGGGCCGCTCGGCAGCCAACGCCGAGCCCGACTACAACGTGGACCCGCTTGTTTTCAGCATCATCAAGGCTCTTGCATCGTTCCTGGTGCTCGGCCAGCGCGTGACGCTCGGTCTCGTCGAGACGGACTCGATCGACCGCATCAACTCGGCCCTCTACGGAGGGTGGCAGGGCGTGCTGACAGGCGCTGCCATCACTGGCCTCGTCAGCGTGTACGACGCTGTTTTGAGGAAGTAACGCGCCTCAGCCCTTTACAAAATGCTGCCGCATCAGCCCCGCATGGCAGGTTGGTAAAGGTGAAAATAAACTAATAGCACGGGCACCCGACAAGCACACGCGTCCGCTCTACATGTACCTCGTCCACAGATTTAGTCAAGCGTCCTTCGCGGGAAGAGACAGCTATGAGGTGGAGACGGCTAGCGCGCGCCATGGTGGGAAAGCGGCGTTTATGGGCGTTGTCGGCGTCTGGACGCACGAGCTGTGATGCTATGGAAGGAGCGCGCAGTGTTCGGAGTGTTTGATACCTTGTCTCGTTCTTCTTCATATTTGCTTTTTTTTCTTCTTCTTCCTCTTCCGCTTCCTCATTCTTCGTTTCTTGCTGGATAATTGGTGCTTGGGTCATCTGGCCGGTTCTGTTCTGCTAGTGCGTATAGTGTACATGGGCAAAGATGTGTGGTGCTTGTGTTGGGCTTGAGTGGGAGGGTTCTCATCATTTGGAAAGGGTGGGGGACTGGGCAGGACTGGGTGAAAGAATTGGACAGGCTAAAGGAGGTCTGTGAATTTCAGTCGGCCAAGTGTTTTCTTTTCGGTTGGGCGACTGGCATGCAATTTTGATTTGATTTCCATGATGAAAGGCTCCGAATGGTGCACACACGGCCTCACAAGCACGAAGAAAAAATGATGAAGTCGGGACGCGG